TGAACAAACCCCTCGGTAAAAACCTTCAGGATGTAAAAAGGAATAACACTGGAAGCTTTGGTTTGTGTTAGTGACACTGAAGAAAAGCTTTATTACTCAGAATATGATCAAAACTCACGCTGAGAAAATGGCCTTTAAACATATGTATTGTTAAGTTTCAGACATGTTTTAGACCAATGATAAGACACTAGTGTCAAATGTTTGACTGATAGATATCATCATGACACCTCACCAGCTGATTACTGACATTAAAACTATTATCATCATTGTTTTATTTAAATATGAACATGGGACATGATCTAATTAAAGGTGTGCTTTTTGCATTAATCTCCAGAGTGCAGGTCTGAACTAAAATCAACCTACATGTGTATTTTGGATGATTTATTCCCACTAGTCAGAAAGAAAACATGTTATGGAAGCAACAAACTGCACCTGTAGAGTCTCGTCTTTACATATTAAATACACTTCACTTTCTTTAAACAAAAAACTCTCGACACAATAAACTCGCTGAAACAACACTTTGTCCTTTAATTAGAGCCAAATGACACTTTGTTCTCCAGGAAACCTTCAATCATTAAGAAGCTGCTGATAAAATCTCAAACTGGACCTCCAACAAACGAGCAAAGGCCAAATGTTACAGCAGGCTCTCACTGTGTCCCGTGAACGCAGCATGAGGGCCTTGAACGCGTTAAAGGGTTTTTTTTTGGGGAGTTTTTCCTGATCAGCTGTGAGGGTCATAAGGACAGAGGGATGTCGTATGCTGTAAAGCCCTGTGAGGCAAATTGTGATTTGTGATATTGGGCTTTATAAATAAAATTGATTGATTGAATGCAGCATGATGACGCCTCTAGCAGCTGTTGGAGCAGCGCCAGCTTGTGACGCAGTTCAACATTTACGGTGTGTGCTGACAAACAACCGGTTGAGTCCCTGCTAAGCTCCTTCCTGCTGTCTCCACATCAGTCCTGTAGTATAAATCTACTGACGGAACATTCACCGACACTACCTGCTGCTCTCAGCCGCCTTAAGAGGCTCAGACAGCGGCAGAGCAGCGGCTCGTCTCCGCCTCCTCCACAGACTCTCTTTTAGACAAGTCACACTCGTGTTAGATTAAAGTCCTGCTGTCTCTAGACCAACTAAACTAACGGCAGCCTGTGTGAACGAGTCAAAGGCTTTTAAACGGCTTATATTACCTTCAGCTGGAGGTGCAGGTGGAGGAAACAAGCTGCGTCACCACCATCCTTCAAAGTGAAAGTAAAGTTTACACAGGAAGGAAACAGTTGGAGAGGCGCGGGACTGTTAGACACGAGTCATATCCGTTAACAGTTTGTCTGCCAGCTTCAGTTAGCTGAAAACTAATCTGTAAAGGTTTGAAGAAGAACAACAAACACTGACATAGTTTACAGGTCCCACTGTTTATCCTGTTGGACACTTAATGTGTTTATACATGGACTCACACAGCCTGAGGACTTTTCTCTGAGCTCATCTCTGTGTTTGATTGGAGCACATTTGTCCACATTCAAGTCACTAAATGTCTTTTTCCTCTGATTATTACAGTGTCTGCAACATGCAGATATTTAGTTACTGTGCAACACTTTGATCGCATTTGATTTACACCTTCTTTTGTCTGTGTTGTCATTTTACAGCCCTGGGTCAGAGTGGTAGTAAAAACAGCACGTGCACCTTTGACATGTTTACATACAGAAGAAACACCAGTAGAAATATCACGTATGTGATGAGTCACTGTAACTAAGTTGTAAATGAACATTTAGAGTTCAGACCTGAGATGAATAAATGATTTCTGGCTGCAGTATTTGACCCTCTATCTGTAAAAGTATTTGAAACTGTATCTGTATCCTGTCAGTTAAAAATATTTTGCAGCTGCGTACAAATTGGGCCTTATTCAGATCAAATGCAGCCAGGTGTGTTGCATATGGGGGAAGCACAGAGCTTTTTGGCCGTGGTCATGGCGTCAGGGAAGAAGATAGTGAAGCAGTAATGCGATGAAGCTACCTTACTGTGCTCGACAGTCTCTGAGGACCAGTTGTATTGAACGTAAGTAATAAACACAAGAAAAACAAGAGTGAGGTTCACTGGAGGCCTCCCTTTGCCTCTCTTTGGCTGTGCACGTCCAAGTTTTAATTATATTATGTGACTGAATCTGTGATTCTTTGGCAGACGTACAGAGGACACTCCAGGTGTCAGAGCTCTGACCTGTCAGCTGATCCATTGACTCCGTTATAACTCTTATTATTCTGTTCTATCACTTTTCTTAAATAACCCAAAAGACAACTTGATCCTTTCACTCTGTGTTTGTTCACTTCTGCCACCACAATCTGGGGCCTCGTACAGGATTAGACGACTGATCTGGACTCTGTTGGAAGACAGAAGCTGGATTAGATATTGAGATTCCTCCAGTGACCAATATGTTTCTGTACAATCATTCCACTTAGAAACAATATGGCTTTTTTCGGAGTAGGCTCGGCCTTTATCCACTTTGCGGGGTATGATATGATTTTGAGAATTTGTAATGATGTATTACCAGTGAAATATTTTTTCCATATGACCTTCATCTTCTTTTTCATGTTATTTTGACTGACTTCCACATGACACTGTGGCCTCCCACGTCAGTTATTTTAGAAACTCCCACACAGCTAACATGTACTGTGACTTGACGCATACTCTTAGAAACAGCACACTATAATTGACACATGACACTGACAACAGAAATTGTTCAGTATTTGTTACTGTGGCGATCCTTATTATCACAACCACACTTCCTCATAGGTGCTGACAGTAATAACAGTCATCATATAACGGTATGTTATGTAGAAGCTTCACTGGTCAGAGCGATTTGCTGATCATAATGTTACTAGCTGATTCTTTACATAACACCGTTAGCTAGTTGTTCTTACCTGGGGTGCTGGCACAGCAGCGCTCTTCAAGACATGTTTCTTCCTCTGTCCTGGGCTTGTAGGAACATAATCGTCCTTGCTGAAATGCGCACTACACACATGAAGCTTTTTTATCCTTGCCACTTTGGTTTCAATGTTCAAACCTACCGCAAGAAGCCAAAGTTGCCTAATAGCAATGTCCATGACAGGAAAGCAGTGAAATGTATACGGCGAATCAGACAGGTTTTTGTTGCTACAGCCCAGAAAATCACAAGTCCGCACCATTTTTATATATTTTCTTGTGTAACAATATAAATCTCTCTTTGGGAAGCAAAATGTTTTATTTGTGTGACCCCAGCAAACTGTCCAGAACCACCTACTTCATCACCAGAATCAGGTCTGAACTCTGCTCACAGGACACAGTAGGGGAAAAGTCACTGTTGATGCACGACACAGCTCATGAGTATGTCATTCAACTTCATGTCAAAAAATCAGAACTATCCCTTTAAATAGGGTCTGTGCATCAGTGTAGGCTTCTGATGAGCCCAGCAGGAAGCGCAACATCACAATGGAGGAAACAACGTACAAATGTGAGAGTTCCGTCTTTCTACTTTGTAAAATATTTTAGATCAAACACACACACTTGTTTTCCTCACACTGACTTTACAGTCTCAAACAAACTCACAGAATGTTTGGTGTCAAAAGATGAAAACCTACATGTCCATATGCTTCAGTAAACCATTTAAAACTGAATAAACATGTCCTCCTCCCATTCTCATGATTTTTAAAGAAATATATAATCATGTGTTCAAAGGGACAGAAGAAGAAACAAAGCAGTTAATTAATCGCTGAATTAAAAATGAGTCTTTTCAGTAAAAAGAGGAATGCTGCAAAGCAGGATGGGAGTAAGATTGCCCAGATTAATGAATGAAGTTCATCTGTGAATGTGTGAACTGTGTCTAGAAAATATGAACAAGTTAATTACTTTGATTACACTGCACTGTAACTCTTATCTGACTTATTAAACTTTATTTTTAATTTATCTAATTTTAATTCATATTTGAATTTTTTTTTTAGTAGCCTGTTGCTCTATTTTGCTTTCACAAAGCGTCTGTCGGTATCCATAGTTACATCTCTTTCCTTCTTCCGGCAGAGTGGTGAGGGCGTCCCATGGTTTGGCTTCTCTTTTATACACTTCCCCTTAATCAGGAGTGCCCTCCGCAGCTGTGAGTGTAACTTGATTTGGAGTGAGAGTGGACATGGAGTGGTTTGGGATTGGGCCATAGAGACAGACAACCATTCACACTCACATTCACACCTGTGGACAATTTAGAGTCACCAGTTAACCTGCATGTCTTCTGGAGGAAACCCACGCTGACACGGGGAGAACATGCAAACTCTGCACACTGATATAGAAATGATGATGAAACAATTATTTCAGAAACGTGACCAGAATCAGTAAAATCTGTTTAAAACTCATTTCAGCTCTAAGTTTGACTTTTCTCTGTCTCTCTTGTGTTTTGTGACAGCTGTGGAGCTTTCTGTCTCCAGGGCTTCAGACCTGTTTGGAGGATCATCAGCAGCATGAGACACCTGGGCCAGGTATGTGTCTCATGCATATAAACCAGAGCAGCAGCCAGTCTTTGGGCACGTCTCCTCTCACCACATACCTCTGTGTTGTGACTTTATTTTCCTTTGGTTTACATTTTCACTCCTCCTCTCCCGACACTACTGACCTCACAGATTCCTCCGTCTATCTGCTCCACTTGTTTTGATCATTTTGTGCTTTACTTCGAGCTTCACCTTCAGGTCTTAAAGCTTCACCTCACTTGAGTAACAAAACACATGTCATTCATCTAAAGAGGAAAATGAGCTTTAAACAAGTGAGTGGAAAAAGGAGTCAGCCAGAGTGGAAAGTTGTGATTCCTTATAGAGGCAACTAGTGTCTGACTAAACACTGAAAGAAGACAGGATGTGTCCAAACTCTGCTGCATCACATGGATGAAATATTGTTGAGTCACCTTGAAAATAAATATGTGGTATAAAGTACTGCAACATGTGCTGTATGTCTAGAGCCATATGTCACTGAGATACTCTGTCACACTGTAGATCTCAACAGCGTCTTATTGTGAAAGTCTGCTCCTGTTCCTGCCCTTCCTGCCTGTCCTGCTTCATGACTCACTCCAGGTAACAGCTCACCTGTGTCGGAGCCTTTTCTCTCTTCGTCTTCAACACTTTGAAGAAGCTGTAAGTTGGCTTTGTTTGATACTTTTGTTTTTAGTCGACTTATTAAGTGATAACTTGAGCATTTTTCAGTCTGGACTCTATTTCTCTGTGTATCTGTGTCTAAGACAGTGGTTTCCATCTGGTCCAATCACAGGCTCCAGATTTCTCCTCAGTCATCAGTTCAGGGTCCACACAGTTTCATATATTCAGCGTCATACTTGTGTTTGGTCATGTCGTCCAGTTAGTCTGCTGTCTCTGTCAAGTAGCTGTCTGTTAGTCACTCA